ACATGGTTTACCTTTTAATTTTGTTGAACTTAGGAAGATTAAGACTTGGATGCAGTATGTGAATCCAGATTTAAACCTTATTTCTCGAAATACTATTAGATCTGATGTATTAAAAATGTACATGAGAAAGAAGGAGAAAGTTAGACAAGAGATGTCTATCATTCTTTTAAGAATATCTTTAGCTTCTGATTTATGAATTGATCGTACTACTGAAGGTTACATATGTTTGACTGCTCATTTTGTTGCCTCAAATTGGAAATTAAAGAGTATATTTTCTTAATTTATGTCATATGCCTCCTCCTCACACTAGATTTGAGTTGTCTAAAATCATACATGAATTTTTATTTGATCGGGGGATAGAGAAGAAAATATGTTGTCTTACTTTGGATAATCCATCTGCTAATGATGTTATGCAACAACATTTGAAAAGTCAGTTAACCTTACAAAAGTTGTTATGTGATGGAGAGTTTTTTCATGTATAATGTTTTGCATACATTTTAAATTTAATTGTTCAAGAATGGTTGAAGGTTGTTAGTGATGCCTTATACAAGATTAGAGAAAGCATAAAATATGTGAAGGGTTCAGAGAGTAGAATGAGAAAATTTAATGATTGCATTGATCGAGTTGGTGGTGTAGATAGTTCAAAAGCACTATCTTTAGATGTTCTTACAAGATGAAACTCAACTTATTTGATGTTTCAGAGTACTCTTCTTATTTCCTTTTTATGTTACTACTACCTTGATTTCTTGTACATCGTATCCTACTTCTAACTTGTATTTTATGTAAAGTTTAAAAAATATTATGATGAATATAGTATTGTGCTTGCATTAGGAGCAATTCTTGACCCAAGGATGAAGCTTGAATTATTGTATTATTATTATTCAAAAGTTGATGCTTCTACTTATGAAACAAAGGTGCAACAAGTTAAAGAAAAATTATATAAACTATTTGAACATTATTGTAGCATAACTTCTAGTGCACATAGTCATATTTATTCCTCAACTTCTACTTTTAGAGTGCATCAGGAATCAAAGACTGACACATCTTTTGTTTTTTATGTAAGTTTAAAATTTAGTAGTTAATAATTGTATATTTTTTATTATATTTTTAAAAATCTTTATCTCATGTTATCTACTTACTTTTGACATGTTGACTATGTCAAGGACTTCAAATTGCACAAGTCACAACAAACTTCTAAGGTTAGAAAATCTCAACTTGATCTTTATTTGGAGGAGTCCACTATTGATATTAATTATCATCATGATTTAGATGTTATACAATGGTGGAAAAATAATAAAAGTTGATTTTTTGAACTATCAATGTTGGCACGTGACGTGCTAAGTGTTCTTATTACTACTGTTGTATCTAAATATGCATTTACCTTTGGCTCACATGTCCTTAACAAGTATAGGAATCATCCTTTGTCAAAACATGTGGAAGCTTTGATATGTACTCAAAATTGGTTACGTGATTGGTAATTTATTTTGTTTACATGATACTATTATACCAATTTGAAGTATCAATTTTTTTTATTTTAAATTTAATGTTAGATATTATCTTTTTTAATTGTGATAAGCAGCCATGGGTATAAATAATGATGATGATGTTGGTGATGAGGATGACAATCAAAATGTGCAAGTATTTTCTTCCAATGCAGCATCAAATTGAAATATTCTTAATTTAGAGGATGATGATTAAAACTTTAAAGTTTTTGTAATTTAAGACTTTATTTTACTTTATGAATTATGTTTAATGATTTCAACTTTGATTCATAAACTATTTATTTTAATTAAGATTAAGATTTCAAAATTATTGTGAATTATTACTTTGTTTTAGTTTGTAGATTATGGTTTATGATTTAAGTTGTTAAAATTTGTGTGTTTTAAGATTATAAAGTTATAGTTAAATTATATTTTATTGCTTTAAATTTATAAATATAAATAATTTTTACGTTTTTAAAATTTAATATTTTATATTTTTGTAAATTAATTTTTGAACGAGATGGTGAGCCAGCCCATGGCCCAATCCTAAACGGGGCGGCTGCACTTTTCTATTCACATTTAAAAAAAAGGTTGGCTCGACCTAACCCATTTTTAGGCTGGCTAGGCCGCATTGACACACCCCTAGTTACACTTACACGTAGAAGTGCATGGAATCGTAGAAGGAATGTGCATTTAAAGGACTTTCAGCTTTGAGAGAAAAGCACGGCGGGTGTTAGAATCATTCTCTCTGATGTTCTTTTAGTTTCTTTTTTATGTTTCTCTCTGATACACTTCTGTTATTCATCTTTTTTTATCTTCATCTTTGTAATTTGTGTTCTTGTTTCTCTAAGGATTCTTCTGTAATTCTCCTTGCTTCTATAATTTTGGAAATTTTTCTTTCAATAAAATCGAGTTCTTGAATTCAATCTTCTTCTTTCGTTTTATTGGAGATTCTTCCTTCAATAAAATTGACTTGAATTTAATCTTCTTCTTTCATTTCACACAATTTTATTCTTTTACGAGTAAAAATTTTTATATTAGTTTTTGTTATTTAAAAATGTGTTGAAGACATTAAAGAGAATGGAGTAAAAAAATACTCTTATAAAAATTAAAACATAAACTTTTAACTATACGAATGAACTTGTAAATAAGTATTAATTTTAAGGATTAAATATATATTTTAACTAAAAGTAATAAAAAAAATTGATGAATTTATTTAAAGAAAAAAAATAAAGTACCAAATAAAACATTTTAAGAGGCTAAAAACTTGTATTTTTTTTAAAAAAAAATTGTATTCATTATAGTTTCATATTCTAAAAAGAGATTTTTTTTACTTATATAGATTTTTAAAAAAAATATTATATAAAAATTAATGTATAATATATATTAAAATAAAAATGTTAATATTGATATTTATTCATTCTTTTAAAAGAAAGATACAAGATAAAAATATTGAAATTGAATTTAACATTATGAATACATTATTTTTTAATAAAAGCTTCTTCCTTTTAAATGTCTAAACTTAATCTTATCCATTAAATTAACAAAATCCTATAAATAAAGTAATTTTTTTTATTAATCAAGAATTAAATGTGCTCTAAAGATAAAATTGCATTACAATACAAATTTTTTTTCAATAAAATTTGATTTGATATCCTCTATTCTTTTAAAAATTATGATTAATTAAAATATATATTTAAAAAATTATAATCGGTTATAGAATAGATATTTAGTTCATATAATTAAAATTTATTTATAAATTAGTTTGTATAGTTAAAAATTTACATTTTAATTCTTATAAAAAAAATTTGTTTTAATACTTTGATCTCTTTTGACTAACATTTTTGACTTATTTTTAAACGGTAAAAATAAAATTAAAATATTTACTCATATAAGAATTAGATTGAATTTATAACTTAACCTTCATTTTAAGTATTATTATAAAATTATGTGTATTTACACGAGAAAATTGTTAATTATTACCTTAAAAACATTAATTAAAGAATAAAATAAAATAAAAACTTCTTGGTAAAGGGTGTGACAATTCACTTCTATTTTTATTTTTAATAAAAAATTATATTTTGTGATTGATTAACTAATATATTAAGAGTTATAACTTACTTTCTTTCATGAAAATTTTTAAACATTTTTTTTATTTGGTATGAAATAAAATTGTACAAATATGATTTTATGAGACATTTATAAAAAAGAGAGAGAAAAACAAAATTCAAAAAGTGAGAAAAAAATAAAGATCGAGAGAAGTAAGAGAGAAAGAAAAAAAGAAAGGTACAATTGTTTTTGTACCATTCACAAATTAATTTGTGTACTTTATTAATATTATTTTAAAAATTATTTTTTGTAAAATTGAATTGAAATTGGAGAGCAAAATAATAAATTGGATTTTTTACACAATAAATGTTTATAATATATGTTTTAAATACATTTTTTGCTTTTATTTTATGAATTATCCTTTTAATTACTTTATAGACAGGTCACAAATTAAAGAATGTATCAGTGAATCGATTCTACAAAAAGTATATTATCAACATTACTCTATATATTTTGAAAATCAATTATGTATTATGCAGTTTGATTTTGAGATTAATAATTTCTTTTAAGATTTCATTGTGAATAGAATATATTCTGAATGGACTCATTAAATATTTAAAATATACTAATATTTATAATATAAAGTAATTCTACTTTAGTGTATAAACTCATTTTTAATATCACCAATTGATATGTTAACCTATATTGTGTCTCTACAGTTAGGCGTAATCCTATATAAAGTTACTTAACTGTATCTTATGGTGCGTTTTATGCCCAAACATGTAGAATCTAATCTAATATCATGTTTGGTTTTACTTTAGAATGGAGGTGAATTTATATTTACTTTAATGCTGCCAGAGCAGGTATAAAAGAGAGACGCCTAATCCAAGAAGCAAACTTAACAGGTTAGCAAAATGACTTTAGATATGTTAATTAAACTTACTAGGTTGGACTAAAAAAATTGGGCACCCAAGAATCTTGTTACCCTTGCACTGAGCTTTTGACCAACAAAAATATTATGTTTACTTTTTAAATTCAATGAATCAATCTATAAGCAAGTTACCAAATTAATAATTTTAATTTAGTTAACCTTTTCTTGGCTCATAATGAAAATAAGTCAAATTATGTTAACTTATTTTGAAGCTCAAATCCTTTCCAAGAAATCACCCACTTTTTAAAGAAGCCCATTAGTTATATTAAGCCAAATCTTCGAAATTGATTATACAATCAGAGTGCTACAAACACAGCTAAGAATTTATAATCAAACTGAAACAGGGTAAGACATTTTGGACATTTAAATAAATTCAGTGATATTTACTGATAATTTTATGTTATTATAAATGCTAATCTTGATGTTGGACATCCATTATATGAAAGCATGCTTTTCAAGATAATTTGTAACTCATATAATACCCAACTAGGCACAGAGCATTATGCACAATTCTGATTTCAGTTGTGTCGTGTTTCTTACATGATCCAAAAAAACAAATTAATAATAGTAATAATGATGATGCTCCATCATATTGTTATGTGACTTTTCTTCAGCATTAATTGATATTCAACATTTGATTGTTCATGCTTATCCGGCCTCTATGGGTGCTCTCCATTCCTTCTTCATTTCTACAAGCTTTTCTTCTATTCATTTCAGCATACATTTCTTCAATCATAGGCTTCCATAGCCTCACACGTGCATTTATAAACCAATTGGATACCTGGTCAATCAACCATAAATACAGCTCAAATCATCATAAAAAATAACGATGTTTTCAATTTCCCCCCCTACAAGGTTTATATTTTTCACAGCAGATGTTCCTTTCCAATCAACTGTAACATGAGCAACAAGTACCTGGCTTCTGGTCAACCCACTTTTTACTGCAAGTAAATGCTTCTCTGCATCTTTAGGATACCTGAAATGCATCACATCACATTATATTAAAACGACAATGTTAAACTAAGTATAGGGAACCAATAATAGTAAGATTTTATTAAAATTAACTATATTCATTGTCATTTATAAATACCTTTAATGCATAAATGTGTTCCTTTCCAATGAAAATTTACCCTTTTGTAAATAAATTCAACCTTAAGAGTTGATGTTAACAAGGATAGCTCCAAGCTTCTAAATTAGCAAACCCTCAAAATAGAGCTAAAGATTCTGAGTCGTGAATTTTAGTCCATATTTAAAAAAACATTTAGTTAGTTCTTGACTTTACAAAGCAACATTCACTTTGGTCCTTTTTAGCGCAAAATGATAATAAAAAATAAAGTGAAAAGGGACTAAAAGGAATGACTCCAAAAAAATCAAGGACTAACAAAGGATTTTTAAAATCCGAAGGACTAATTTGAGAGTTTATTTATCAAGCATGCATCTGATGAAAACAGCCCAACATCTTATTGAGATCATTATCTTTTCTAGTACAGTAACTCACGGATGGAGGAAGTTCTGAAACATCCAAGCACGTAGAACCGAGACAGATCTTTCAGGCAAGCCCCTTTGGGGCCTCCATAACTGATCTTTTCTTTTCAACTGTTGGAGAGCCCATTGCTTTTGAATGAATGAAGTTTCAACAGACCATTCCATCTCCTCTTCTGAGCATGAACTGTTAAAATTTGATCCCATGGCAAGAATACAATTGCTAATCCTCTCGCGCAAGTCCTTGTACAGGAGAGAGATCGTTTGAAGAGCAAAATGAGCATGCATGTGTGGATCCAGCTCAGTAGCAGCATGGAATGCAGATACAACAGTATGAATCTCATCCAAACACTGACTATATCGATTGTCCACCTGAGTAGAAAGAAGATTATTATCAGTATGTTAGGATGAGAACTTCAACCCACAACTGTTCAACGTTGCACAATTAGTTGTTCAAATCATTGACAGAGTATTACCAATTTTTCCCTTCAATAACTAGTAATTTGGAAAAATGAAAATTGCAAAGTAAACATGTTTGCACATATAATTGAGTAAATTCCCATATTAGTTCCTTTAATCCTTGATTACACAATTTTTATTAAAAATTACAAAATTCAATGCAATTCAATACATTGATACTATTAAATACTACAATTACTAATAAAAACTTACTATATGATTTCTTATCATGTGCAATCATAACAAATGAATGATCTTTTATAAAGTCAAGGACTAAATGAGGATTTGAACAAGTCCGAGACTACAGTGAGCAAAGCTATAATCTCAAGGCCTAATTTGGGGTTTACTCCATATAATTCAACCATTACAAATTATATTCTACTATAACAAATGAGTGTAAGTCGTGGCGTTTTACCAGCTGTAGAAGCATGAGCAGTTGGGATTTGTTTGGTTCAGCTGCATGTCTTTGTAATGGGGATTCTACATGTGCTTCAGACATAGAATTTACATTTTGATTTATTGCTACCCTTCTCTTTGGCATGAAAACTGAAGTATATTTATTTCCTCCTGCTTTAACACCAGCAGCTGAATAATTTACCTGTTCTACATTTTCAAATGAATATGTTGCAATTTGAGCAAGTATCTCTTGAATTACAGCAAGATATCTGGACCCTAAGATTGCTGGTGAAAACTGGACATGTTTGTTTGAACCTAAACTCATAGACAGTTCCTTACTGCTGCATGAGGGCTGCTCCAAGCCTGACTTTGTTCCATTCATGCAATGTGACACATCGGAGCAACTCATTTCTGAGCACTGACCCGTAGTTGGAGATCTTGCAAGACTTAGTGATAGCTCATTACTACAATTAGAGGAATTGTAAGCAAGATTGGCTAAGTTTGCAATATTTGACGATGTCCATCCACTGGGATCCAGGTTTCCTATGGATGAATGAGCCAAGAATCCAGTCCCATCAACCTCTTGAGCTTTTGGAAACTTGTTGACATTCCACTTACCATTACAATGTACTTCATCATAGCCATGATCACCAAAAGTTGCAGGCAAAGGGTTTGATGTATCTTGCCAATTATTGAAGATATATGGTCCTAATGCCTCCAATGAACAGACAGACGGAGACAAAGTTGTCGAATTCCCTAAAGTTTCTTGAAGACCAATTCTAGCAGCAATTGAAGCTGGAGTAATTGGCCTTCCTCCAGCTAAATGCTCTTGAAAATCGTTGTTAATGAGATTTGAGGCATCTCCCACAAAATTCTTTCCTTGTGATGTAACAAAAGAATTGGAACCAGCAACACCAGGAGGATTTATGATGCGACCCTCGTCATGGACATTACTTGTAGTGATAGGTTCACCTTGCTCTCCAGCAAGTATTGGAATTCCATTTATGATGGGGTTTTGGTTATTGAGGTCAAATGAATAGCAATAAATGAGTGGCTTTGGTGCAAAATGCTGTGTAATTCCCTCTATGACATTAGAATTTCGACCAGCCATGTCCAGTGGTGCACTGTACATATCATTCTCCATCTAGGAAATGCAACAAAGAGGCTCTAGTTATTTCTTCAATGGTTTTCCAGAACAGCATTACTTCAAGAATGGCATGATCACACTGTTCAAATTCATAGCAATACGGACTAGTATAATCTAGTTATCCCCTTTCTTAGAAGGATTATAGTTAGCCCTTTCGTTTGGAAGAATTAACTTGCTCTCTTGAAGAAAATAGATATGTCAAGAAAGATCCATGCTACAAGGAAGAATAGGAAACAAATTTGAACCAGGCACCAAGAAAAGTAATAGACAACAATTGTGCATCATGTGACTTAATTGAGCATCATTCCAAAGTAGACCATTTACTGAAAGTTGAAGAGTGAAATTTGATTTTAATAAAAAAAAAAATGGCTTTTTCACTAGATAACTAATCGGCTAAATGACACAAATGATTTCAAGAGAAGAACAAAGTCAAAAGTATGTTCATTAGCAAAATCACGTGAAACATCCGTTCCTTAATAAGGATAGGAATAAGGAGTTACCTATCAGCTATCTCCCACAACAATCGGACCCACCATATGGCACTTTACTTGACACCCCAGAAATCTTCACAGCTTCTTCCTAGGATGTGTAGTTGCCCTCTCAGAACCTAGAAAAACAAAAAGGAACATGAAAAACAAGCATACAGCTTATTCTAAGTTCCAAATGTTTGAGGGTCATCAAATTTGACCTTTAAAGATTATAAATCATAAGCAGAAACACAATGGTAAAGAACTAGCCCATTAATTTGTCCAAAAAAAAGAAGCAAACCAGAAATCAGTCATTCCCATCTAGCACAAAACATCACCAAAATAGGCCAACATCAAAACTTTGTTGAGTTGATGTCTTTTGCATGAACAAAAGCATTACTTATTTTAATCCAAGCATTCCAACCCCAATAACCAAATTTAATCTTCACAGATCCCATCAAGATTCATTGTTTACCCTTCTCTTCTCAACTCTTTGAGCTCCAAACAATAACATATCATTATCTGTCTTATCCACCCTTTTGCAAATATAAAAAAACACCCACCTCAAGAAAACGAAAAGCATGGAAGAGAGTGTAAAGGCACAATGAAAAGAGAGCATACAAAAGAACAAGAAAAAAGAACAAAGCTAGCTATGCACCTATAAGTGAGTGTTGGAGATGAATGAAAAAGTATTGTTAGTGTTATTCATTAAAATTGAGATAGATGGAGGTAGCAGAGCCACGAATGAGTAAAAACAAGAAAAGAAGAGAGAGAACACAGTAAGAGTAGTTGTAGTAGTCTTTGGTGCAGTGCCACTCATTTGTGTTGCAGGCTTTACTGGGCCCATTTCTCTTTCTCTCTGATCTCTTTTGTCACCTATTATCACCTGCTTCACTGCACTCATCACAACCAAAATATCTGCATTCTCTCTGTTCAAACTCCTGTTCATAGCAGATTGACTCAGAAACATTTTCAGTTAAAGCCCCTTGCTTTTTTAGCTGTTTTAAAACAAGATGCTAACGTGAACAGAAACAAGAGTGAAATGAGGTAAAGAAAGTACAAGCTTTTCCTTCAGAATGTAACAACTAAAAGCATAAGGGAATTGATATATGAAAGAGAGAGAAGTGAAACACTGTTATGCTTGTAAGCCTATGTAGGCTTGTAGTATAGCTGTGTTGTGTACTTTGTTAGACACAGACCCAGAGAAAGAGAGAGAGAGAAATAGATCGAATTGTGATGTAAGCACAGCAATAATGACGACAAATTTTGGTATCGAATTAAGGTCCTTATTCGATCTCGAGCTTATTTCAGCAAATTAAGTATGCAATGTTTTTTGAGAAAGAAAAGAAATCAATAATTTTTTTTCTAAATTCTCTTAAAAAATTATTAAGCTTGAATAATATTTTTAAAATAAAGAAAAATGAAACACACTACGAGTTGTGTTGATGTGTTTTGCATGGCCAGTGCTATTCCCATGTATATGTGTCATCGCAGATAATTATCGTAACTATTAGCATTACCTTGTTTTGGAAAAATGCTAGGACAATGGTTAAAGAACCACAGACAGAAATATTTTTGTTAAATTATAAAAATAATTTTTATATTTAATGTATTTTTATTAAAAAATTATTTATTAATTTTTAATCAATGCCTTAATGTGACTCCTTTTTTATAAATTAAATATATGGATTAATAGTTGTTAAAATTATTTTTTAAAATAAGCTTGTTACTTACAAGAATAAATATTAAATAGATTTTATATTTTTAAATAGTAATTTTTAATAAGTTTTATTACATTTATTTAACCAAATTACAGCATATAGAATAAAAATCGTTTTACAATTTTTTTGTTTTTAATCTAAAAAATTACGAATTTTTATTTGATGCCTCGTTCTTTGTTTTTTAAATTAATTTATTAAAAATTATACAAATTTATTTATTTATTTATTTTTATTTAACTTCTCTATATTAAAGAGGATAATTGAGAAACGAAAACCATGAAGAATTATTTGTTAAAATAAAATATTTTATGAAAGACGACAAAACAAGGACTAAATAAAAAAAAAAAAAAACTTACACTTTTAGGGATAAAAAAGTTATTAATTTTTTATTATTGGTTATTACATAAAATTGGAAATATTTACCATTTCAAAGTATAAAAATGTGCAATGTTTAAAATTAATAATTAAAAATTATTTCACAATAGTGTAAAGTGAAAATAGTGCCAAATGGGAAATGACAATAGCATAGGTGTCTTGAATTTTTTGCATAAACTGTGGGATTTTAATTTGTGCGCCATAGATAATAGATTCATAGCCCCGCACCCATGCTGTCTCTGATGTCGGTGTTGTTTTGCGTGGCTCCATGCCTCCATAGGTTAAGGATCATTTTCTACTTACCCAATTCTCACAATTCTCTATCAACATGCATACTTTTTCAAGAACCACTATTTATTTCTCATTCATATTAATTTTTTTAACCCCTCAAAATAAGGTGTCAGGTAGATTAAAATAAAAAAATATATATATGATCAATAATGTGATAAAAAATAATAATTCTTTTACACCTCAAAAGTTGAATGTCACTCTGTCTAAATTGAACATAGAGACCTGTTTTTTCCCTGGACAAACTTTAAAAACTGCAGAGGGTCTTCTTTCTCCCTGAAAAAAAAAAAAGTTAATCAATATTTTTATTGAGATAAAATAGAGAACATATTTATATTAAATATTTTTAATCCTTTGAATATAATGATGATATATAAATAAATGAAAAAAATTGTCATTTCGACCATTTCATGCTCTCATTTTTTCTCGAAAGAGAAAAATAATTATGAGATCTCATTAAGCTTTTTTTTTCTTCTTACCTTTCTAGTACCACACCGAAAAAAAGTACTTTCTCTATAGGAGCTACATAGAGACCCATTTGAAGAATACAAATTATTGAGAAGACTTTAAACAAGATGATTAATGAACTTTTTGTCGATATCATACTTATTTATATTGAGAAAAATATTAACTTTTTAGCACATAATAAATTATTAATGAATTTGACTTCAAAAAGTACTGTAAGTTAAACTTTTGTAAATGATTATGATTAATTTTTTTGTCGCTCTTAACTTATATGTTTACATGAGTATTAATATTTTTTAATAGTCGCTAAAAAAACATTATCTATGTAAGATTTTGGACATGTTTGCAAAGAGAATTAACTTCTATTATGTCATACTAAAAAAATAATTTTTATGATATTTTATAAATTAAGAGACTATTTTATATCTTTTTAAATATAAAACTATTATTATCTTTATTTTTATTTTAATGAATAATAAAATTAATAATTTATTTAGGAAATATATAAATATTCATTAATTTGTATTAAAGAATTCATAACTATAAAAAATTTAAAAATAATAAAAATAACCTTTCGTAATGCTTCGAATGTCAACCAAATAGGCTACCTCACCCTCCCCCATTCCTTTTTTAGAGGAGATAATGAAAATGCGACGTTTCATTTGTTTTAAGTGTAAATTGATATAATTTTTACTCATAAGAATATTATTTTATTTCTCGATTAAATTTTTTTTTTGTGTAAACTATCATGGGGAAATCAACATCTTTTGTCAGAAAAATAAAAACCAAAAGAACTTTTTTATAGTTGTTATAAAAACATATCAAATGAAACGGGGAGCATAAAACAAACCAAATGTTTGTTATTCTTTTAACTTTTATTTTTCTCCCACCTGTCACGTTTGGATCTATAGGCCAAGTTAAGTTGGTTGGCTAATTAAGTGATACAAGACAAGCTAACATTTGGGCCATGTAAAACCTTTTAGGTGACGGGGCATCAACTATATTAGTGTCTGTTCCTCAAAATCGACAAAGCCATATCTTGGATGTGGGCCCTAGGCTATCTTTTCATTCCCCCAAGCTCCTTGTTTAGTTAAAATTATAAATTTTATTAAGACTTAAATATACTTTTAGTTTTTTTAGTGATTTCCTATTTTAGTTTTTTTATAATTTTGCCTTATACTTTTATGATTTTTTATTTTAATTTATATTATTAACGTGATTTACTAAAAATATTGTTGTCCATTTTTTTTTCATTAAAACACATCAGTAAAGAAGAATAAGAATATAAGTTTACAAAAATGAAAATTAAAATAAAAAAAATCATGTAAAAAAATTAAAATATTTTTTTAAATATAAAAAAAAAGATATTCTCACATTAATATAAATCTAAAAATTTGTATACTTTATATGAATTTTTTATTTTATCTAAATTTTTTATATAATTTATATTTAACGTGAAATAATAAATTAATTATAATTTATTACGTGTAAGTTAAATAAAAAGTTTAAATTAAATGTAAGAATTTTTAAATAAAAAATTTTATCGCATATAAAAATAAAGGATATGTTTCAACCTTTTATTGAAAAGTTAATTTTAAATAACGATTATAAGCCCCTTTTTTTTCTCTTGGGCCAGTATTATTAAGCTGTAATCAAGTACCTTAGAAAGCCGAAGAAGCTTGACCTTCGTAGCCATGTTTTTCACTTAAACACGGACACGTCCATTGCTGAATGAACCTAAAGAATGATAACCTTACGAACAGTAAAAGCCCATTTTCAAGCGTTTCTCACTCTATTTTGATCCAATATTACCAACCTTAATCGTTTTTTGGGTATTGTGTCATGATCAATTCTTCGTCTAACTCTCAATAAAATGGTTCAAATGTTGCAGACTGAATTAAAAAGCTATAATTAAAGTATACACACTTGTGATGAAAGCGAATTGTATAAAGTCAATGTGCTTAACTTTTTGTTCGCATTTTATATTTTTGTACCTAATGCTATAGGTTAGTCCTTTTATGTTTGTTGTTTCCCAAATTCTCAGACTAGCAAAACCTCTTAAATAATATAAAAATATATTTATTCAATTTATGTGTGAAATTATGGATAAAAGTGACGGCAAAATTTGTCCAACTTCAATACCATAGTCAGAAAGTTATGCCGAGGCCCAAAGTGGAACATAAAAGTTATGAAGCCGTGTTATGTTATGTAAGCAAAAAAAATGAAAAACTGAATAATTTTACATTGACTTTTATAAAATCCCTTTACCTTGCTCGCCAAAAAATGAACGAAATACTCGTGTTGTGTAGAGAGAGAGAGAGAGAGAGAGAGAAACTTAATACTCACATTCACAGTCACATGTTGCTGAAGGTTGGTCACAAGTCATCACGAAATTTTCTCACTTTGCTGTTCTTAACGTTGAATTCGGGCTCTGACATTTAAGCCGCACAAAAAGGCGTCTAACTCAACCACCATCCACCTCTTTTTTTCTCTTCAATTTTAACCAATGCTACGATTTTGCACACACACATTAAGTTTAAGAAGAATCTAATACCAGTTGAGTTATAAGGTTAACGCGAATTTTTTGTTCATTTTTTTAATATAAACATCTGGATCCAATTGTTATTATCTTTTGTCAATATCCAATTGGGTTTTTTGAACTTTAATTTTTATATTTAAAGGTCACGCAAAGCCCAGTCGTCGAACCTACAACCATTTAGATAATATGATTAAGCAGATCGCATGTCATTTTCACAACTATAATTATTGATAAAAAAGAGCAAAAAACTATGATATTTGACGTCAAATATCTCAACTTTTAATTTATGTACACGGGAACTTTAGACCGAAAAAGAAAAAAAATCATATGCATGGGAACTCATCAGCAACAGTATCTACTTTTTCTTAATTCTTCGTTTCAGACTCAGTCAATTACTTCACAGAAGGCCAAATCTAAATATTTTAAGACCCATTCCATTTTAAGAAAGCTTGAAATCTGCATTCAATCCATGTTAGATTCCAACCATTTTTCTATTTCCATCCTATTGACTAAATTAACATAAAGGACATAACATAACCACCACATATATTTAGTTGAATTTAAAAACGGCAACCGTCCCAACGACGATATATAAAACAAAAGTAACCTTACGAATTGATATCATTATTGTTGGCACGTATATCATATAATAAGGAATTAATTATTCGAACATATACAAATGAACAAATTTCAACTGTCTAATCAAACACTAATAATAATAAAAACAAATAAAATGTATTATTATTGTTATTATTTTACGATGAAGAAAATGAAGAAGTTAAGAAACAATGAAAATCCCAGCAACCGTGTATGTTAGTAAACATTATCAATGAATTCAAACCCAAAGTCTGAATAACAACAAACAGAGTCCAACTCTAAAATGTGTGCTTGTTCCTCCGTTTTGGTACATTAAAATTCATGCTAACGTGAAAGCAAACACACACTAATTAACACCAACGTATCCCACTTCCTAAACATTCATCCATGTCATAACATAAGCATAAAATTGCCTATTTTGCAAGTACAATCCTCTACTATGCAATCTTAGAGGCTCAAGGAGACGTTCATCAACGGGAAAACCCCTTTGAAGATTTCAAGTAACAACGCATTCATTCTTAATTGTCATTGTCCATGCATTGAAATAGCCATAGCCACGACCCCAAGTTTCTGAAGGTTGAGCTTTACCACGGTATCAACAAACATCTTTGTATCCTCTTCGGTGTTCCCTTCGGGTATATCTACGATATAAGACTCCAAAACAATAGTATAAACCTTACCCTCTTTGTTAAACTCGTTAACCGACGTAACGGATCGATAGTTTTTGAGTCGGTGCTCGCCACCAACAACCCTAAAGCTTAGTATGTGTTTGTCATCATCCAAAATCTCGAGCCTTTCGGTGCTTGTTGATGCTGGAAGACCCGAAACAACTGTTACTTCTCTTATGCTTCCAACGTTTCCATCACCTTGCATGTTGCACCCTTTGATGAAGTGTTTGTACTTTTGAGGGTTATCGAAGCTTCGAACGAAGGGCCACACCGTGCTGGCGGGAGCATCGATTCGGTATGTTATAATGGAAGAACATGTGTTTGAGGAAGGCTCGAATATGTGGTATTTTTTTATGATGGATTCGAGTTCGGAGAATTCTTCGGGTGTTAGACCTTGAACATGTTGATGATTTTCCATTTTTATTTTGGTTTGGAACAAAAGCGTCGAAGGAGAAGAGGAGGGTACGGTAATGAAAAGAAGGGTTTTCAATATGTTATTGATATATACATGGAGATGAATAGTGGACAAAAACAATCATATGAAAGAACAACACTGTCTACGCTTATTGATGTATGGGGTTGTCCTTTTTTGTGTCTTGGACGGATATACCCTCCACAGTCCTGTTTTATAACATCCCGATATCACTTACTAACTAGTCAATGCTCGTGTCCATCAGTCTGCAAAGATATAATATATATAAATATATCACACAACCATAGTGTATAAGGAGAAATTTTAATTTATTTTGGGTGAATTAAAAAAATTAGTCATGTGTTGCATTAAGATTGATTGAGACCATGAATAAGGGATAGTTTGGTTTAATTAAATATTCAATTTGTATAAAAGCTATATAATTTAAATTTAGTTGTTATACAATAATTTTACTGTTTTTGTAGTTTTTTTTTTTATCTATTTGACAGTAACATGGATCATGTCAGTTAAATAGAACAAAAATTAAAATACAGGAGAAACAATAAAATTATATGAGATAACTTTTATAAAGACTTAGACAATTAAGTCGAGATAATTTTATATGATACAGTAATTTCTTTTAAGACAGTGAGCAAGGAGATATTTTTAAAAGAATCAAAAGAATAAAGTGAGGTGCAAGGTGAGTATAAAAAAAATTAAAAGAGTAAGGTAGAAAGATTATATTTAAAATTGGGGAGCGTAGATATTCTTACTTGGTAAGTAAGGAGAAGTAAAAGGGTGGAAGGGGAACTTTAGCTATATGAGGAAAGGCGTTGTCTCTAACACCATGTTTTTTTAATCCCTTTTAATGTATGGGCAGCTTTGTCTTATGGTGATTTGAAGCTGATTCGGTGGTGCTTTTGAGGCTTTCTTTTTCTTTGTTTCTGATCTGGGCCTCTAGTAAGGGCAGCCTCATAACAAATTGTGCTTCATGTTGACCTTTGCCTTTCCATTTATTCTTGATCCCATTTCTTTTCGTAGAAGGGAGATAGATAGAGGAATAGGATACGTCAAAGCTATGGATCATTTTAATAGTTTATTTTGTCATTTTTTAACACAATGTCATGCATGCCCATGCCTCTATGCTAGAGGTAGCTATATAGATTTTGGTATATTGAAATTGTAGATTGTTTTTTATATATATAGATGGGGTTGTAGGGAGCATAAAAAAAGGTGAGTTTTGAGAAAGGAATGGGATTGTGATTTTGAAGGGAGCGTAAGGGTAATATTGGATAAGAGGGTGAAAAAGAAGGAGTAGTCGCAATCGTTGAAAAGGGTGAGCTGGTTATTCACGAATCATGTGAGAACTCTAACAAACCCTTATCCGCGTGATCTAAACTTCACTTTGCAGGATGCACCATTCCCCACCCTCTCTGGGCCCACTATTCCCTCACCTCACTTCTCTTCTTAATTTCTTTTTTTTTTTTATTATTATTTATCCATTTTGTTAATTTGTGTTCAAAAATATACCTTCAAATATTAATAAATATTTTTAATAAAATTTTATCATATGTAATAATATATTATTTATTTATTAAATAAATACTATTTTAGTCCTTTAAAATATAGCTATTGATCGTTTTTGTCTTTCATTTTTTTAAAATTACTTATTTAAGTCCTGTTTAATTTATTTTTAAAAATAAAATATCATTTTAAAATTTAGAAATCAAAGAAACTTTTATAAAATTATATACTAAAATAATTGATACTTAAAATTTAAGAAAATAAAATTGATTATTATTATTCTTTGTTTATCCTAATTTTGGCTAGAGATAGAAAGAGGAGTTATAGGGGTTGCTTATGATTGTTCTCAATTCTCAAGTGTTTATTTGTTTTGTCATCATGTTTATTGGGCTGTAGATGACTTTCTTGATTTCTTCCATACAAAGGTTGAGAAACAGAAGAGGCAAGCTAGGGACACAGCTTTTGCATGTGTGTGGTTAGCTGTATGCAGAAATGTCAGCAGCAGTAAAGTGAGTATAATTAAATTGCTTCAAAGCAAGAGAATCTATCAATATATATTGGCTTTCTCTGTCATTATCATTTGACGCACGTATACAATAAAATCTAACAATATAAAGCTCTTAAACTACTCATCGATCATAAAAAAAAAATCATTAATATTATACAGGTGGAATATTTTAATTTCTAAAATTAATCTTTATTAACCATTTATTTAATAAATTTTATTATCAATTAAAAATAAACAGTTAATAATAATAAAATTTTATTAAAAAATATTTATTATATGTTTATAATTTTAATATAATAATTATATACTTTTTTTATAAAAAAAATTTAACTTTAAAAACTGAAGATAACAAAACTCTTATTTTATATACAAATTATTTATTTTTATTTTTGTTATAGTAAGTGATGTTTTATAAAAGTAGAAAGATTAAAAAAATTGTATTTGTTTTTAAATCAAATAGTTTGACACTTAGGGCGTTGAAATGGCACAATACAATAGTAATATTTTTTTCATAATCTAGAGCGTTCGGTGAAAGAAAGTGAAGGATTCAATAATTAAGGTGAGACAGAGCATGCTAATTAATGTGTTGAGACTAATTTGTCTTGATAAGAGAAGAGGGAGAGCTCAAAAATCCATGAAATGAGAGTGGCTTCTGCTTTTTGATTTGTTTATTGTTCATGTAAAAAATGTTACTAATATTTAATACTAGATATCTATGTTACGTAATAATGTGACGATGATTTATGATTTTTAATGTGGTCGATTTGTGGAGAGAGAATCTGTACAATTATTTGTCGTAATCTGAGAAAAAGTAGTGAATGGCATTGCAAGGAAAAGATTGCAACGTTCCCGATTTGGTATTGGAGGAATTCCTGCATTGCTAAGTAAAGCAAATGGGAGAGGGAGACACAGTTCTTGAAGTTATAAATGCCAACCTTTGCTGCTTCCAATCAAATTTGGAGTAAGTTTTGTGATTGATGTTTCCACATGCATCTCTGTGATCACCACACCACCCAACATTACCACTTACCACTTATCATATTTCAACATTCAGCAGCGCTCAGCACACAGCCTCTATAACCCTTTCTTTTATTTCTTCATGTCATAACTATCAATTATTATCTCCATTCGTAATTAAATAAATACTTTATATTATAACAACCACACAACGGGATAGGGTTACTTACTTCCCCACGCTACCATCCCATTAATTACGCTAATGTTAAAAAAAAGTTACTGTTCAACTTCTCCAAAGTGAGACCATTATGCATTATAAATTAAATCAAATTACCAGAAGCTTCTTCTCAAATAATTTATTTCAATGATCAAAATGATTCTCCTCAAACAGACATCACCTTATAGAAGAGTGACTCTCTCTGCATAAGTGACTCAATTTGAAGAAACTCAAAGAAAAATTTGTCATGTATCAATGCTATAGTAGTGATTCCTTTTGGATAAGCACCACTCAAAGGGAGAACATCATGTGTTGTTAAAATCTTATTATCTTATAATTAATTAAATATTTTGAAATTAATTATAATTAATTAATTATAACATTAATTATTATTAGTTGTATGTAATTTATTTATTACTTTTTTATGTACTAAAATAAAAATAATAATACAGTTTAATGACGTGTCATCTCTTTTGAAATTTCTCAAGCAGTGCAGGTATTTAAAAGTTGCTCATCGCTCGGCAAATATGTGAATTGCAGGATAAGCTTTTTTTTTATATATATAAATAATATTAATAGGAAATTAAATGAAATTATTTTATGTAACAATTTTTTAATATATTAATAGCAATCGTATTTTTGAAATTTTCGTGAATTTTTTTATATCATTTTATTTTATAATTGATGTAAAATATACATTTTACATAAGTTGTTTTTGAAAAATAATGTAAAATCAATTCAAATTTCAAATTTTTAGATATGTGTCAGTGAAATAGCATAAATTAGAAATTTAAAGATAAATTTTTCTTAAGTTTCTGAAACTTTTATTCTGTTAGCTAGGACAACAAACATGTAATGATTTTCTAAGTACATTAATTATTTTAACTTCTTTCAATTTTTTTGTTGTTTCACTTTTTGTTGCTTCTTCTTCTTGTTTAAAGGATTTGATAAACATTGCATGTTTTTTATATTTTTGATTCAAATAAAGATGAACAACAATTAAATAGGAAGAAAACAATGACCACAACAAACACCACAAATACAATTAATACAACGAATATGAAAAATTTGAAGAACACGATGAACATGAAACACATGACGAACACCATAAACACTGATATTTATGGATTTTAACTTCAGAAAATATATTGATAATATTGATGCAAACGTTAAGACTTTAAGAGAAAAAAAATACTGACATCATTGACGAAAATGAATATTAAGAACATTTTTTACATGAGTTATTAATAACCGATGTAGAAAGTTACACTTTTTACATCAGTTTTTAACAACTGACATAAAAAGTTTTGAACTTTCTATCTCGTTTATATCTATATTGAATATAGAATTAATGTAAAAGGCTTCTTTTAAATTGACGTAAAAAATCTTCTTTTCACTAGTGTATCATTAAATATTTTAAAATAAAAAATAAAAAATGATTCAAATGTTAAAAATAAAAAATAATTCTTTGATGGATAATTATACCTTTAAGTATAAATTTTAAAATATATTATTAATATTAATCTTATATTTTTCATATATGTCATAAAAAATATGTAATTAATAAAAACATAAAAAAACAATGGTTTTATCGTGACTAATATTATAATTAATTAATTATAATTAGTTTCAAAATACTTAATTAATTAATCATAAGACAAAAATATATCATGACATGTGACATTCTTTTTTTTTAAGAGTTGTTTGAAAATTTCATTTTAAATAAATATATTTAAAAATATTTTTTAAAATTAAAAATATAAAATAATATATTAATATAAACTTAATGTATTAATAATA